GTTTTCATGAGATTTTTTTGCCATGTTTGATAACCTACAGATACAGCATTGAAAAGCTCAAAAGCTTCTAAAGTGCTCCTTAGTGCAACTGCACAAGCTTCACTGGAAATCAGTGGCCCAATCTATTTTAAGTTAATTTACTCTTACATGAGAAGTACATCTAATATTTTTTCTCTTTCCTGTTCTTATTTACTGCAAGAATGGGAATGGGATGTAGCACCCCAGTGAGATGTTCTGGTCATGGTTTAGAGCAGGCATCCTCCAAGCACACGTTCTGGGGGCTGCGAGGTGTGCTCCTCCGTAGAGCGTGTCCACAGACAGCTCACGTCAAATTATTCCAGGTTTTAAAGCTGCTCACCTAGCTCCAGCTGCAGTGAGTGATGACATTACTGCTCCTGCTTGCTCACCACTGTCAGTCACTAGGAGTTACTGGCCCCACAGCTGTATCAGTGGGAAGGATCACTTGAGTTTTTCCTTTTCCTTTCAGGCAAACCCACTTTGTTCAGCTAAAGTCACTCTCCACTGGATATTTAAATGAACCCATCTGGCTCTGCTGGAGGTGCATTAGGCATAATCCCTCCAGCAAGCTGAGAGATAGAGCAGGGATCTCGAGCAAAGGACTGGTAACTCATCAACTAGTATGGCTGTCTAAAATGAGTGTGACTGTTGCCAGCAGGATTTTGTGTGAAAAAATGTGAGTTTGGAGGAAGGATGAACATTAAAGGCATGTTGCTTCCAAGGAACAAATGCCCTGTTTTTCTGCAAGTGTCCTTCTCAATTAAATCAATGACGCAATTTATAACCAAAGTGACTTCTATATAATGGTTTGTTTATTGAAAAAGATTCTGCTTGGTATTAGGAGCTCATTAAACTGAAGTGCTGAAGGAAAAGACATTGATTTAGGCTTCTGTGAGTAATGGTGTACCATCCATTTCCTGTCCTCTCAAGTTCTGTATTTATTTTTCTTCCCATCTGTTTTTTTTGTAGCAGACATAATTTAGCAAAATATTTAATTTCATACCTAAAGCTTTCCTTAATCAGGCAAATATGTGGCCCGATTTCAGGAAGAACACTTACTGTCACTTAATCAGGCATAAGCACATACTTAAGAGCACTCTATCTGAAATACCTACTTTTCTTGATCAGAACAATTCTCTGAATTTCTGTAAATTTCCAATCCAACAGGACAGCTGACAAGATAAGGGACAGAATTGAGAGGACCAGAGCTTGAGGACTGAAGGTGATACACAAATGCTGTAGCCAAGACCATTAAAGATACAAGCAAAACAAGATTTACATGGTGAGATAATCTACTTTATTAAACTATGCAATTTAATTGGAGATAAACAGGCAACTTCTGGCATGTAAGCCCTTGTTCAAGCCACCAGAAAAAAGTCTTGAGAATGTAACCACAACAGCCCTCTGCCTGAGACCTTGCCTGTTCTTTTTCCAACCATGTCAATTAATCTAATAAAAGACTTCTTGTACAAATTTTGCTTTGACGTTATTTGAAAGGAGACGGAATGATCTGCAGACAGAAAACAGGACAGAATAACCCAGGGTCACCCCAGAGCCAGCAGAAAGCAAGTCCTTATAATTGAAGACCAAGAAATATCGGCAGGTTTCCCACATGCGGTACCAGAAGCATATGCTGTCCACTGAGGGAACCAGGAGATAGTCAGCCCAGGCACAATGCTAACCCTTGGGCTACTGGATGCTCTGGGATGGGACTCCTCCTTTCAGATGTAGTGCAGGCACTTCAGGGTAGGAACTGTAGCTGAGGATTTCTGCATAGCTGACAAAGGCAGTCACGCAGACATCCAAATCCTGAAAATCCTTCACTAATGAAATTCTTTGTTACAGCAACTTACAAGTGCTAAACCCCGCAGCAGTTTGAAAGCCTTTCCTTAGTAATTACAGTTACAGGGCAAAGTAACACAAGAAACTGTGTAATCTTTCTAGGAAACATCAATTTCCTCTTCTCACCTCTCTTTCCCCACTTCTACTCTTTTGTTCCAGCACCTGCCTCTTCAGAAGATTTTTGTGATTTTTTTGGTCAGCCTACCCTGACTTGGTAGGCTTCATTCCTGCAGCCCTCCTGGGCAAGCAGAGACAGTTAATGCACAACTGAATAATGAGGGAAGTATCTCCTAGTTTCATACTTAACTAAGCTTTTTCACCTCATTTGTCACCTCTAGTCACCTCATTTTCTGCACTGATTAACAAACAACCCTTCCCACAGCTTCTCCCCTCTCCAAATCAGCTGCTGCCTGCTCCTATCTTCCTCTTCTGTTAGCATAGCTCAGAATTAGTTTGGCTTTAGGTTTAAGCCTTTGGCAAATCAGTTGTAGTCTGAAGGCAACATGGTTGTCTAGTCCAAATTAAGATCTCATGTCAAGCGCTCCCGATGCTCTCCTTAGATAACACACAGAAGCTAATCACTGTCATTTTCCCCTTCCTGTTTTCCCCCGGTGTTCTGTATATATACTAATAATATTTTGTTTGCTAAATTAGGAAACTCATATAATTTAGAGTGTACCTTTCTTCTCCATGGATTGCTCTCCATGACAGAGATTTGTTGTTGGAATGTTCCCTAGTCTGTCCTTGAATACACTGTTGCCGTAACACTACCGGTGAGCTACTGAAAACATCAGCTTTCTACCGCCAAATGGAAATTGCCATCCACTGTCAGGTAAGAGAGATAATGAGTAATAGACAAGCAACAGAAACATTAATGGTTTGTTTTTCACCTATTATGCAGACCCTCTGGTTTTAGCTATCTTGTTAAAACTAGTATTACCCTTAAAAATTAAATTTTTAATCTGTTTAGAACACTTTGTTCTTGGGAAAGCATGAATGAGGGGGATTAAATTATATCTGTACTATAGTTTTCTTGGTGATTGGTAATTATATTGTCACTCATGATGCTATTCATTGCACTTAGCTGCATGGAACTGGGGAAAAACATGACATTTCCCCCTGTACTTGACATAATGAGAATCTACAGCTTTTCACAGAATCATACATCAGTGAGGTACGGGAGTAAACAAAACGTGGGAAAGTTGTATTTGGAATAAAGGATTTTTTTTCTTCAAGCCATAGTATAAAATATTTATGTTTTCCCTGGGAAATATAAACGGGGAGGTAACAGGTGCAATGCCCAATTTAGGTGAACAGCAAACACTTATTTTTTTTCTGTTGCTTTTTCAACCAGCCTGCCACCGAGTGAAGCATGGCTTTTGAAAAAGGCCCCATACAAATCCCAGCTAGTAACTCTGGCCTTTAGAAGACAGCAACCATTTCTATTGTCTCAGTTTTTGGATGAACAACCTGAGGTATCTGTAAAAGGGCACAGACTTAAAAGAAGTGCAAAGTAACCATCCTCTGGAAATAATACACCTGTTAGGAAACAGTCTTTGTATGTGCTTCTGGAACACAGGGACTCACACCTTTCTTTCTGCCTATCCATCTTCCTGAAACAGTAACCATCTAACCTTGTAGTGGCTGCTATGTCTGCCATTAGCATGAACATACTTCTTTTGGACCCAACTTCACTGACATCAAATACATTTTCCCAATTCTGACTGAAAACCTGTGATGCAAAAGGTGCTGTCCAAATGCAGTGCTTTTATTAAAACGAAAACCAAACAAAAATGCATCTTCTTGGCAGAGTGGCATAGTGAAGAAACTGCATCATTAATAAGTTCTGAAAAGTTTTAAGTAGGAAACTGATGTGTTATTTCCAAAGTTCTCATTTCCACGAATCACAAATTGACTTAATTTGTTGTAGAATTTGACGAATATAGTTAAATCTGAAGAGGACTAAGTCACTCCACAAGAGTCAGAGTAACTATTTATGTTCCCAGTAGGCTTGTTTCCATCCAAGTTAACAGTTCTTCGCAACCAAAGTTGTTGTACAAAACATTCTGGCCTCAGTGAACCATATCTGCTGCAATGTAGGCTTAGGCACAAACACAGTGTAATTCAACACCGCATGAAGTCCTTGCTTCCACTTTTAATAAATGTCAGTTGCCATAAACCACAGTACTCTGCAGACTAGCTGTGCAGAGCTTTCAACAGTGACCTGTTCTTTGATACTAACTGGTACATACTAAACCCTTTTGGGAGGTTATTTTCTCTTGCGAGGGTCACTGTGACTTGCATTTTTAAAAAAAAATAACCTCCCCCTGGTAACAGCCTTTTTCCTTCCTTTTCACAATGTGCTGGCAAATTAAAACTCAGGAGACTTTTTGCTGTATTACGCAAGCATATAACTTCGTTGTTTTAGTCTTCATCGACTGATGTAAAGTCACCACACATAGGGCAAGAAGATCAACGCAGTAAAGTACTTATGTTTTTAAGAATGCAAAAGAAACACAGAGAGAACAAACAGCCCAGAATAGATGCAAAAATTGTCTTTATCAGTTAAATGTTGTGAATTGTAATGGAAAATTCAAGGTGTTCACAGCTGACATTTTTTCTCTTATGAAAGAGATTTGCGTTTTCAAAAGCAAGCAAAATCAAAAGAAAACCAGGTGCTGTTATGCTCCTCTGTACAGTTATAACCTGTGTAAGGCCAGTACTGCCCTCCCCGACGTTAGAAATGAGCCTCAGTGTGACATTAAGGGATGACCATTATTACTCTAATCTCCCACAATACTGCTTCATAAGGCAATGCTTTTAAAAATGCTTTGGGGAAACAGTCAACAGAGTTTTGAGGGTTAATTTTTTTTTTTAAAACTTTTTTTTTCACTCCTCTGGTCTCAGACTGATCTGCAGTGAAAGGGAGGCAGGGCTCCCTCCCTGCAGGTTATCACTCTCAGGGTGGCAGCTGCAGCACCAGGAAGCATAGATGGGCATGGTACGCCCTAGCTCCTCTCTGTTGACACTTCATGTATGGAGTCCTCTGCCATCTGACAAACTCCTCACAGCCAGAACATAGCAACAGACTAGTATTACTGATAATGTTGTGATAATATTGGCAATAATAAAGTTTGGTCAAGACTTGGCATTGTATGCCATTAGAATCACAGTGTTACTACAGTACCAGTATATTGCTCACTGCTCTAGTGAACAGTAATGCAGAACATTATTATACTAGCTATGTTTAATGAAAAAGGTAACAGGACTCCACTATCTGCTTATAATCCGTATTTGTATGCAACACAGAATAGTCAAAATCACATCAACAAATTAACATTCTGCATCTGCACTGGTAACATTTAGAAGGGACATAAGAACACAGGTTCTGTTAAGAAAGCAATGTTTATGTTCCTATACTGCAAAGAGGCCACAGTCAAACTGACATACCAACTTCTTATAAGAGCAGCAAGCCTTTACATGGGTGTGAAGTTAACAGAAATGTTAAAACTTCTTTATCAGATTAATTTGTAAGTCAGTGTTTTCAGCCAAAAGGCTTGAAGCAGGCTGTGTACCCAGGATGGTTAAGATGATAAGAGAGGAGTTCCATGATGGATCAATCTAACCCTCAACTGCTGCCTGAGGCTTCCAGACTCCATTCCTCTTGTTATGCTTGCTTACCTTTTCCTCTGCACCAGTATATTTTAAAGATTGTTATAAATGTACATACCACCCCAGTCAAACTTAGGAGTTTTGACACTTTCTCAGTGTTGGGTGTTTTGAATCAGGAGATACTCAAAACCTTTGTTTAGGTAGAAAGGTTCTGAACGAGTCTAATGCCTTTCATTACTCATGGACTTGTTAGGGATGCTGCCGTGGACTGTAAAGATCAATGCAAGATCTCATCCAACCATAGGTGTGGTATTCCTTAGATCTAGCTCTTTCATGCTGCTGACTACCTTCATATTTCCACTGCAGGGTGTATATTCAGAGTGTGGGGTGTGTTTTTTGGAATCATTCACTACTGAGGTATTGTACAATCAAGCAGGATTTTCTCTCAATAATTTAGTATATATTTGCACTCAATAAGACTTCACGATTTAAAATGCCTGCCCTTACACAGAAGTACAGAAAGCCTCATTTATTGTGCTGAGATGGCTTTTTCATAGACCTCAAATTTGTACTGGATGCCATTCTCTTCTTGGATATCAGCAGGGACACCTGGGTACCTGGAGAGAGGGGAGAAGAAAAAGCAAAAGCCAACAAGTAGATAAAAATACCATTATGAGTGACCTGTAATTTATCCAATCAATTCAAAAAGAAAGTTGTTTGAAAAAAGATGAAAATACCATCCTTACAACAGGTATACTAAGCACAAACTGTTTTTAGGAATCATGTTAACTACTATCAGCAACTTGTACACACATCTTTTTAAATTAAGAGAGCATACTGTGATGCAAAAACATCCCCACCTTTTTGGCTTAATCAAAAACCCCCAACATTTTTATTAAAGCCTCCAAGACATTATTTAAAATGTATGCAGAGGTAGAAGAGATACAGAACACTTTTGGGGTTTTTTGCTTTGCTTTTCCTCAGATGCTTTAGAGGAAATGCTAAGGTAAAGGTTTCTTACAAGTCTACGACAGCGTCTTAAAGTAACTGACTGCTCCTCTATATTCCAGATTTACTAAAACAGGTTTTATTAATAGACACTTTCAAAAATCTCTTCAGCCCCCTGTGACAGAATAAGGATTTTGTATGAGTAATGTTGACTTTGAGGGAGAAAGAAATTTCAGATTTTATTCCCTATGTTTGACTCTTGTCAGGTTTCCACTTTAGTGAGGAAATCATCTGCTATTTGATAAATTAATGATTTAAGGCCTAATTCTGATTTCAGTACACTGGCCAAAACCAGTGTATATCTGAGAAACAGAAAAGAGGGAGAGAGGGGAGCTTTAGGTCAGACATCAGTATACTAAAGTGGGCTCATGATATGGCACAGCACAGTTCAGAACATGTTAGAGTTGGAAAAGGTGATTCATCCTCCCCACTCACTTTGTTTGTCTCTCCCGCATCCTTCTTTGCTGTCCCTATCTATGCTCCCCACTTCAGTGCTAATTCATTCCCATGCCCCGTGCAGAGAGCATGACTTGCCATACCTTCTCCTTCTTCCACTGCTGGTCTGTAACCAGCTGGGAACCAAAGCAAGGGTAGCAATAAGAGGAAGAGGTCCTCTCCTTGCTGCTTCTTGAGGCAGATGTTTGAATTTTTGCCACCTCCCTACTGCCTGTTGGATGTAATCTTATTGGAGAGGACATAAAAGTATGACTGGAATATGACAAGGATAACATAGAAGAAACCACAGTGAATGGCAGAAACTTACAGTTCAATACTTGTTTCTACTAAGTTTGTTAGGAAGAAGTAATTTTCTCAGGAGAAAGGAATAACCTTAGAAATCTATAAAGGCTCAACCCTCCCTGCTCAAACCCATTTAATTTGTCTTTGGCAATTTATCAAGACATTCAGAAGCTGAATACCATTGACTAACAACATACTAAGAGTTATGAAGCTTAGTAAATACTTCAGTAATTCTAAAATGAGAAACAGTAAGAAAGTTACTTTTCAAGCAAACCGACAAATGCAATTCTTTACTGTAAAGATTATGGGAAGGTTGAAGAACACAGCAAGTTCCAATAACCTCTCTGTGCTGAGCGTGGTGCAATTCCAGGCTGTAAGTAAAATATGACTCTGGGGAAAAATACTGTGAAAAACTCAGAACAGAACATGGCTTTAATAGGACGCTTACATATTTAAAGATTATTAAGTCTTCCATCTGAACACAAGGCTCATATGCATCTTGATACTTACTCCGTGAGAAGTTTGTACTCTTTGTAGTTGATTTCTGGAAAAAATGTGTCACTTTCAAAGTCCTGCAAAATTCTTGTCACAAACAATCGATGATTAATTGGCTTCTCCATTGCTGCCTTTAAAAACAATAGAAATGATTAAAATTTAGTTGTTCCCCATAACACAGCTCAACCATGCATGAAGTAGTGTTGTTTATTAAAATTTTTAATATTCTTGTTTTGTAACACTATTTGAAGCCTGTAAGATAATATCAAATATAAGTTCTTATTTGGAACACCAGCTTTCTTTGGAACTCTCCAAAATCTTGTTCTCCCTGCACCAGCCATCACCATGGCAGCATTCAAAAAGAACCAAGAGATAAGAGTCTTAGCATATTTTCTACTTGTAGATTGCACACCAAATATGTTATCTAAAACTGAAACTCAGTTACTATTTTATATATTACAGGATTTAAGCAAAGCTGTGAAAATTGAACTCTAAATTCCCTCTTTTGGACTCTGCTCAAGAGCATTTTCTAAAGGGACAATTTCATCTTGTGCCATTTCCACCTGGTAAGTGGTAGCAATACCTATTCCTAGAGCCTGAGGCATCTAACAGAAATTAAGAAAAAATTAGTCCTGTGGGAAGAAAGAAGCAGTATGGCCCAGTCTCAACAAGCAATTTCTGAATAATACCTCTTTGAAACACAAGAAGCTTTAAGTGGTAGGGGAGGCCCACACCTCAAGGTAATTTGTTCTGATGTTTAATTAATATCACTGCTCGTGATTTATAATGTATTTTTAGTCTGCATTAGTTTGCAATTCCAGTGATCAAATTACCTATCAGTTTAACTTCAAAGTTTGATCTCTGGATTATGATAAAGTGATAATATGCACTGAAAGTTATATACCACCACCACCAACAAAGAAAGTTTCCAGGCTACTTGGACGAAAAAAGTTATGAAGACACCTGTTAGGTGAGTTCCTCACTAACAAATTCACACAAACTCAGGAGTTAAAAAAAGACACTTTGTCTCCAGATCAGACTGAAAAGTCACCTCTTCCAGACTTTCTCAGCTTTAAAAAAAAAACATTAAAAGCTATACTGGTGCCTGGTTACAATGCATTTTTGAAAAGCTTACAGCTGTTTCTGCCTTTCCCTTAAATTGGCAATGAGCAATGCTCTTTGTTAAAGGTGATTCACCATGCAGCATGCAATTAGGTACTACTTTGACAAGTACAGGAACCAAGTAATAGCAAATGTAATCCAATAAAATTAATTGGTATCGCTTCTGAGAAGTTAGTTTCTAGAAAAGCTGCTCTATTACCAGAGAATAGCTTAAAATGGAAGGGGTAAGTCACAGCACACCAGCATCCAACAGCACTGAACTGGTGTTCATCCAGATTGTATACAAATACCACATTCTTTCTTTCTTTCTTTAAATAAGGGTGGGAGGTAAGGGGAGAAACATACACTTGCAGAATGACAGAAGAATGACCGGCTTCACAAATAAAAACATAGCAAGTTCTGTAAACAGAGATACTTTTGTAGTAGAAGAATAAATCAACTTCCTATCCAGCTCTATGGGAATTCAGCTTCAGCAAGAACTGTGTACCACCAAGACAGGTCAGGGAAGAGCATATGGCGTGACTGACTACAGATAGGGCAAAGAAAGCTGAACCTAGCACAAAGGGGACTGGAGGGTGACCTCCATTCTAGAAAAACGGTTGCATTAGTTGCGTGAACCAGCCAGCTGTATAACTGTTTGTCCCCAAGTTAATAAAAAAAGTGCAAATGCTTCCTGAGTTAGCCAGACCAGCTCTGGGGGTCTGCGTGTGTACATGGCCCGTGAATCCTGAACAACAAACAAAAAGAACTTGGAGAAGAGCAAAAGACTTGAGCTGGTTTCAACCCACATATTCCTCCCCAGCAGCTGGGAATGCCCAGTGTCATGACAGTGACCATATTACAGCGACAGGCAAAGAGAAACACATTTGTAAACTGATTTGACTTCATATTTTGGTTGCTCTACTCTGTAATTTTCACTTGTATTGGGATTTCAGTTTCTCATTGAATCACATCACAGGCTGACATCCTGACCTGGCCTTGGCCTGTCCCCATGGCCCCGTCTAGTCACCCCAGAGCTACGTCTGACTCTGGCTACCTTCATGGGGCCTGATCCCACTCTGTGGACCCGCCTCACCACCGTGAGCCCTGGCTGGTGAGGCCCCTGTCATGCCAGTCAGGTTATTGCCCGTAGGTCCCAGCTCCCGTCCCTTTGGCAGCACCTGGTTCTCCATGTTCCCTGACAGTAACTTTAGAAAATTTCAGGTAAGTAAATTTTATATCAAACATGAAACCTTCCACGTGTGGAGTCCCTAAAGGAACCTGTTCAGAGAGGACTGGACTCTGACACCGCCTCTGCAAACTACTGCTATGGACCTGGCAGGATCGGGAAGGAGTTTCATCACAACTCTGGCATTTGCATGAGGATTAAGGTAGCTCCTCACTAACATTCAATTCACTCTTGCCCTGTACAGCCCTCTCTATCAGCTTCACCACCTGTTTTTGGTACAGAAGACAAGTTAGAGGATGCATAGTGCTGATCTGATAGAAAGTTGACATACTTACTCTGAATTTAATCAAGGAAATATACATTATGCATATTTACTCTAATGAACAGAATAGGGTGAATATGACTTTGTTTTAATGTAACATACACATAATACAAAGGTATAGATGTAAATAATCTTATTTAAACAGAATGTGCAGTAACTAAATATATTTCTAGTGATCAGGCAATACTGTGGGAAGTTAGCACAATATTAAATAGACAAACCACTGCCAGTAAGTAGGAGATCAGTACCACCTTTTTTGGTTTTGCATATTTTGTAAATGTGAGGATAATGTATGTGATGGAAAAGATAGTAAGAGAGGACTTGTTGGAAATACTTGTACCAGGGCAAGAAAAGGAGATTTTTAAAACAAAATGATGATGTCTCTGAGCTCATGCTTCTGTTAATTTGAAAAATCTGCATCCTGACTCCATGGTCATTATGCTCCCCTCACTCCATTGCCATGCTGGGTCTCAAAGTCATTCTTGGTACGATTTTAATTTACTGTGTTTTTCCCTCGTAATCCGCTCAGTTATCTTTGGACTGTATTTGTACCTGCACTGGTTTCCCTTGGGAGTTGCATATGTGTTTTTTCTCCACACAGGCTCACCTCCTTGTGTAGCAGCTACTGAACTATTTAAGCTATTATAGCCTGATGCAATAGGGAAAAGCAATGCTGATTTTTGGTTCATGTTAAAGCAAAGACTATTAAAACTGTGGCTGTTGATCTCTCAGAAACACCAGAACCACTCCTCAAGCAGAGATGACTTTCCATAAGACAGGGAGGACAGGAGAGCTGAGGGGTCAGGATCCCTCCTGCTGTACCAGGTATGTCAACTCTATATGTGAAACACAGTCCTTTATTACTCACATGTATCTTAATAACCCTGTGAAAAGATTTTACCATACTCTTGTCTTTTTGCTCGCTTCCAAGAAATCCTCAGCAGGCCTGCCTCTGCAGCATAAAGCAAAAAGGAGATGACCTAAGGATCATCTTCCCCATAATTTCCAGCTGCATTGGACTGAGAGCCATACAAGATTAGATTATGTCTGCATGTGCAGGACCATTGCCTTGAATTAGTTTCTGTTTGTAAAACACAAGTTAGAACAGCCCTGAAGCTTTGCAACAAAGAACAGCTGTGTATTACAAGTAGTTTCAGAAGTATTATATGGAAAATTAATCTTTTATAGATCTAATCCCCAAACCACTGTAAACTAGTGGGCATAGCAACCAATTGCTGTAGAAGGGACCAATTATTTCTAGTGATTTAAAGATTCAGAGGTTTTAGGATACACACATACTGCTTCTGCTTTCTCATCTTCTATCAATTACATAAAATAAGTAAACAAGACAAAGTAACTATGTGAGGCACTTATTTTTCAAGTGTCTTTCTAGACAATAACATTGCCAATGTAAACAAAATATGAGAATACTATAAAAGAGAAATTTTAACATAAACAGGCTGTTGATTTGCATTCTTTTTTTCAATGCTTAAAATATATCGGGTCATATAGGCAAGTTGCATTTTGAAGCCACAGGAGTATTAAAAAATATATTTTATACATTAAAAAAATCTCACAGCCAAAGATCTCACAAAGTTCTAGATCTTACCTAGGTAAAAGGACTTGCCTAAGTTGAACTTCAGCTATTAGGAGAGTTGTGGGGATAACCAGGAGAATCAACAGCCCTTCTTTCCCAAGCCACTAAGGCTAAGCCTAGTGAGGGAGGAGACACTGTGGTAGCTCCCACCACCACTTCTCTGCCAGGGACAAAGGCAAGTGCAACAAAATTCTTCTATGACTGTCATCGAAAAGCCTGCCCATTTTGCCCTTTCAGAAACAGACATACTTTAGTCACTAGACTTTTCGCTGTGTTAGTCTTTTAAATCTTTTCCTCTATGATCTCTGCAAGCATCTTTGAAAAAGAACTTAAAAAGCCACAATCTTTCATAGCCGCATGATTTGTGCCTGCAAGTGACTCATGAATTAACCTTTTTTAGTCATTATTTTTTCCCAGAGGAATGTCAAATCAATACATTTGTTCACAAGAACATGCACACAAAAAGCTTGTTTAGGAGTAATAGCAATAATACACCTTCCTTTCTGTATTAAAAATCCTCTGAGTTTATTTTGAAGACTGTAGTGGAAAGGCTGCATTTATCTCTTTCAAGTCTGTGAAAGTATAAAGATGCTAAAGTACAGAAAATTCTTAAACTTGTATAAGAAATTATTAGTTAATCCACTAGACATTGCTAATATTGCAGTTCTGTTTCCTCTGATTTTATTTATAACTAGGTAAGAGCAAGAAGCACTGGCCATCAGAGGCATGACTACAATAGCCACGGATACATTTTTACAAAACATAAATCTCTATGGGAGGACAGTGCTGTCCGCTGTAAATGCTGTGACCCTGCCACTTTTACACAAATGAGGTATTAGGGAATTGGACTACAAGTGCTCAAACCCTTTCTCAAAAAACACCTAGAAGGTCATAAGAATACAGGAAAACTGTCTTCCCATTC